ACGTGCGCCCGGGCTCTGCGCCCCCCGGCGCTGCTGCCGCCGCGCTCTGCTCGCCCGCGCTGCCCTCAGTGCCGGCACGGCCCGGGCAGCCACCCGGTGCTGCAGGGGCCCCGCGCGCTGCCTCCTGCTCCATGGGGCGGCCGCCTCTCCTGCCCGCTGCCCCTCGGGGGTGCGAGCTGCTCAGAGGGCAGGAGGTGGCACCCAGCACCACTCGCCCTGGCATTTAAAGGCACCAGTGTCCACCGGGACTCCCGCCATCCCTTCTGCACGGCCTCGCACCATCTCCAATGCCGGAGCAGGGTCGGGAGGCCCCGCGGCGCTGGCCAACGTCCCTCAGCAAGGTGCCACCCCACGTGCGGCATCGCCACAAGCACCTGGCAGCAGCTCCATTGTCCTCCTGCTCCTCGGTGCCGCTGGGGTGCGAAGGCTGCGACGTGCCGGGCGATGCCGCAGGCCGGTCCGCGGCAAGGCCCACGCCGGGAGTCCTGCTGAGGCCGAGCCCTGTCCCACCCGTCTGGTTTGTCCGCTCGGGAAGCGGCTGAGTGCCAGCAGCGGCCGGGGCGGCCTGCCCAATCCCGCGGGAGCCGGGGAGGAGCCGGTCCCGCTCCTGCCCCTTCCGCCCGCCCCCGGGCACCTGCCGAGGAGGCCGAGAGCCATGGGGACTAACACAGCTTGGTGCAGCTGCACCCCAGGCCCGCACCGGCCCAACCAGGCCCAGCTCCGTGGACACAGCGGCGCCGGCCCTGCCGAGGCCCCGGCGTGCCTGCAGGGTGCAGGGGCAGCCAAGGGCCCCGTCCCGTTGGCGCCCAGAGCGCCCTCCCCTCGCGCGGGCCAAGAGGCCGCTCTGGCCCGCGTGTCTCTGCCCTCCCTGCCCCTGCTGCCAACGGGACTGCCCCAGCTGACTCACGCCAGGGCCCTAATTGCTGTTTATGGAGCGGGGCAGCGCTGGGTGAGGCGGCAGCGCTGGGTGAGGCGGCAGCGCCGGCAGGAGCTGCAGGACGGGCCAGCAGCTCCCAGCGCTGCAGGACAGCGCAGGGAATGGGATAGCGGGCTCTGCATGGAGCAGACTCGAGCAGGGAACCGGCAGCTGAGCTGACGGGGGCAGCCTCCCTGCCTCCCTCCGTCCATCCCCGATGGCCTGGGTGACTGGAGACAGGGGCGACAGGTCTGGCAAGGCCGTCTCCCACAGCCCACAGAGCTGCCGCTGCTGACTAATGTCCGGGTGGAGATTCCCCAGTGACAGCTGATTTCCTCTAGGTCCTACCATAAACAAAGGCCACTGCCAGAGCCACCGCTCCAGCAGCGCCCGCGGGCGCTGCTCACGCAGGGCAGGGGCCCTGGGATGTGGAGCACCCAGGAAGGCAGCTCAAGAACCAGGCACTAGCACCCAACGCAGAGGCCTGTGGGCTCCACTCCGGCTCAGCCAGGACGTGGGGAGAGGGCTGCGATCTGCATTGCAGCTGTGTTTGCTGGGCCTCCCTCTCCCACCTCCGTCCCCCGCAGTTCCTGGGGAAAGCTTCCAGCTCAGGATAGGAGGGCAGGGATGAGGGCTCGTGGTGTCGGCACCGGCCCCTCGGCGTGCAGCGACCTCGCGGGCCCCGTGGCCTCGGTGGCGGGGGGAGCAGCACGAGCCGCGCTGCTTATGAGCACGGGCGGCAGCACCCGGGTGAGCCTGGCAGGGCGACGGGTCCCCCCGCCCAGTGGGGACACGAGGGGGACCCCAGCCCAGCACCCCCAGGGAAGGGCTGGCTGGACAAACCTGCCCCGTCTTCCAGGCCTCCATCCCAGGTAACCCCGGCCCAAGGACGATGCTCGAGGCAGAGCGTTTTGCTGGCTCCTTTATTCAGGCTCAGGCTCTTCCGTGCAGCTTGCAGGGAGCGGGGAGCCAGGATTATGACCACGTTTCCGACTGGAAGCGCTGGGACCGTTCCAGGGCTCTGAAATACTCCTCAGCTTCCGAGGCCGAGAGGCCTCCTTCCGACTGCAGCACCCACTGCAGGGCCTCGGCCACTGCTGCCGGCATCTGCTGGGCATTCCTGCAAGACCAGGCGAGCGCTGCGATGCAGAGGCAGGGCAAGCTGCAAAGCGGGGGGCCTGTCCACACCCCCAGTGCTCCAAAGGAGCAGCTACTCCCGCTCGAAGCCATGGCTGCATCGCCGGGGCAAGGCGGGACAGCTGGGGAGCTCGCCCGGCAGCTCTTTCCCCTCGGCGCTCCCCCAGCACAAGATCATCAGGGGGACACGGGCAGCCACTCCAAACACGCAACACGCACGAGGCGTAATTCATCCGCGGGAGGGCAGGAAACAATGCTGTCAGCCCATGGGAAACGTTCACTGGAAAACATGCCTGGTCCTGAGCTGGATACAAAAGACTCTTGGGAAGAAGCAGGCCAAGAACATGGACATTTCCTATTCTCTTAGTATTATAGAATCACAGAACCCTTCAGGTTGGAAGGGACCTCTAGAGATCAGCTAGCCCAGCTTCCCTGCACACGCAGGGTCACCCAGAGCATGGGGCACAGGCTGCGTCCAAGCGGATTTGAAGATCCCCAGAGAAGGAGACTCCACAGCCTCTCTGGGCAGCCTGTGCCAGGGCTCTGGCACCCTCACTGCCAAGAAATGTTTCTTTAAGTTCCTGGGGAACGTTTGGTGCCATTGTGGCCATTTCCTCTAGTCCTGTCGCTGGCCACCACTGCAAAGAGGCCGCCCCCTCCTCCTCACTGCCTCCCTTGAGGTATCTCTAGACACTGATCAGGTCCCCCCTCAGCCTTCTCTTCTCCAGGCTGAACAGGCCCAGCTCCCTCAGCCTTTGCTCACAGGGCAGATGTTCCAGGCCCCTGATCATCCTCACAGCCCTGCGCTGGACTCTCTCCCGCAGCTCCACATCCCTCTTGTACTGGGGAGCCCAGAACTGGACGCAGTACTCCAGATGTGGCCTCACCAGGGCTGTGTAGAGGGGGATGATCACCTCCCTCGACCTGCTGGAGACACTCTTCTTAATGCACCCCAGGATCTCATTGGCCTTCTTGGCCACCAGGGCACACTGCTGCCTCATGGTCATCGTGTCATCCACCACGATGCCCAGGTCCCTCTCTGCGGGGCTGCTCTCCAGCAGGTCAGTCCCCAGCCTGTCCTGGTGTCCGGGGTTATTCCTCCCAAGGTGCAGGACCCTGCACTTGCCCTTAAGAAGCCACGTGACTGCTGGGCCCACGGAAATGCTGCCGCGTGGCTGGATGGGGGCGGCTGGGATAAGTCCAGTGTGTTCCAGGCTACAAGGAACCCCCTGAGACCTCCCTCAGATGCTCTGAGAAAAGGGGCTGTGTTTGTTGACCTGCAACGGTGCCATTTCTTCCGGGGGTGACATGAGTAGAATTATCCTCTACCTCACAGGTGTGAGCTGGGAACAATGTGGATGGATAAGGCAGCTCTCCTCTCTCCACTAAGGCCAAAGCAAACCCTGTTGCCTCCCAGGAATCTCAGGTGGTCGCTCTCAGTGCAGCAGCAACAATGGGAATTTCTCTCTCCTCACAGCAAACCCAGATAGCACCAAATAGAGCTCAAGCCAAGGACCTCAGTGACTGTCCAGCTGAGATGGGGCTTTTGAGCAGTGGGTCAGCCTGTGAAATGACTTGAGACTGTCAGTTTTGAGACTGACACCTGCGAGCAAGGCCAGGCCAAACTTCCCAACAAAAGAAATGAAGCAAACATGACTTCTTATATAGAAAATAGTTCAATGTGTTTCAACAATTCCAAACGCATTTCTTATGGGAAATCACAAATTCAAGGTTTTTCCTGGAGAGTTTCAGTTGACAGACTGACCATTAACAACCAAAAAAAAGCATCTAAAGAAAAAATACCCAGGCAGCTCCAACTGGTACGAACACCTGGCCAAGCCTTTGGTGTTTCCCAAGAATCGTGCCAGGCTTTGACCTGCATCTGAAGTGGATGAATGCACCAAAATGCACAGAAGGCAGGATTTCCTTTTCTGCAGGGGCTGTATTGTTTCTGAGCCAGGCCCTGGCAGGCAAACAGCAGCCCCCGTAGCTGGGCTTGCAGCGGAGCAGATGTCGAATTCGTTTCTTTTGCAGAAACACTGGTGTGTTTGCAACATTTGAGCTAGAAGGGCTAGAAGAGAGGGGCACAGCTCAAGACAAATGAGAGCCCTGGCTCTCCTGAGCCTGCCCCGGTCCGCAGGACCTGGGGGGTCAGGAAGGCTGCACTGCTGTTTCTCAGCAACATGCCATGTCAAGAGTCAGTTTTGCCTTTTTTTTTCCTAGTGCAGCTGAAATTGTGAACACAATTTCCAGGAAAAAAAGGCCATTTTCAGGTCACCACGCTGCCACCTAGAAGTTTCCAGCAGTTACCTACAGCCAGCCAGCAGGACCACCACGAGCCTGGGCATCTTTATAAACGGTTCAGTCTCTTCAGTAGGGGTGGGAGGGCATCTGCTGGGACCAGGACAGGCTGCTCAAGCAAGGTGATGGGCAAGGCTTTGAGATCCCGTCTGCCTGCTCAGCCTGAGGGCCACCCCAGTGCCAGGGACAAAGACTGCTGGCCATGCTAGGGCCAGTGAGCTGAGTCTCAGGGCAACCTTGACACTAGGAATGCCATCACTGCAACTCCCAAACCCCCAAACAGCAGGACCACATAACCTCTGCCCTCTTCCATATTCTGAGAAAGAGGAATCGCTTCAAACTCCCTCTCAGATCCCATAGCATGCTGAGCATTCAGCACCAGAAAGCTGCCAACAACACCGGTCTGTACAGCATCAGGACACCACGTGTGGGCTGCCAACTGACTGCCCAACAAACACAGGGCTGTGCGTGGAGGTAAAACCCTCACGTGTTGTCCTTAGTGCAACCTGAAGGAGAAAACCAAACCTCAACCCCAAATCGGCAGGCAGGACTCGCAGGTTTGGGGTAAGGCCCTCTAGAAGGCCCTGTGGTGCCACGAGGCACGTCAGACCCAGCAGCACTGCAGTGGGTACCGAGTGTCGACGTCCCGGCCTCGGCACCTCCTGCGCAGGGAGCAGAAAACCTTCTCCCAGGAGGGCAGCAAGGCCAGACTCACCCTGCGCGGCAGCAGGGAGGCTCCTGCTCTCGTGTGGGACAAGCAGGAAAGCTCCTCCTGCAATTAGCTGTTCAAGTTGACAGCAAGGGACAGCTCAGGGTTTGCACAGTGCTTGCCAGGTCACGGAGGTGCTCCACAAACACCATTCCCTGCTTCCTGCCAGCTCAAGGAGCCCAGGGTATTTCACAACCATGAGGCCATGCCCTGGAAGCAGGAAACAGGTCTCCAGGTCTCCCAGTTGAACAACCAGACACCTCTTCTTGGCCAACAGTTGGCAATGTCTGATCAGCACAAGGCAGGGCTGAAGCATTTAGCAAATGACTCTGTTCCCAAGGGCCGCAGGCTGCAGTTCAAATTGCTCGCCCACGCCTGCCCCATGAAGGCAATCTCACGTGCTAGGAGACAGCCAGTATGTGCCAAGGATCCTACTGCTCAAAAGCCACAGCAGAGAGGAGCAAGCCCTGGCTCCTTCTCCCTGTGAAAGCCTCCTGCCACCTGAGCAGCCACAGGAAGCACATGAGCTCTCTCTCCAGCTTCACCAAGCACCGCTGGCCAGTGCCCAGAGCTCTCTCACACTCCCACTGCTGTGAGTCAGAAGCCAGGGAGCCCACAACGTGCCAAGCTGCAGCCCCCGGGGCCTCAGCAATCAACACTTTGGGACTTTGGTGACACAGCCTCTGTGGGGAGAGCTGTGCTGCCAAGGCACTTACCCAGCCAGGTAGACGTGAGCGTCCCTGCGGCTCAGCAGCTCCCACAGCAGCTTTCCGTTCTCTCGGATGCGGTGCTGGACATACACCTTCTCCTCCTGCAGGGAGGCACGGGGCTGAGTCCACCAGCTCCAGCAGCACTGGCAGCAACCCCGTCACACACGTGCCTGCTTGGCCCTTGGGGCACGGCCCTGTTGTTCTCAGGAGCCCTTTTCAAGAACCCAGAGGAACTTCTGGGGAGCAGGAGGGCACCCGCTGCTCACAGAAGCTGCTGAGTCAGTTCTCTTGAACGGGGAATGCTGAGGCTCCCAGGCAAGGGACCGGGACACAGCAGCAGGAGACGGGTGCAGCAGCGGCAGGGAAACCTCCTGGATGGCTGCTGGGAGAGAGATCCCTTCCCTGCTCCCTGGCTGCTCCGGTGAACATCAAGGGTTGGCTCTGGGCCAGGGTGCCCTGGGAGGGCTACTCTCCTCCCCATGCACGCAGAGAAGCAGCCCAGGCTCTGCGGCCCTCCAAGCCAGGGCTGCACAGGGGTGGGGAGATCCTTCCCACATCCGAGCTGGCCCTTTCAATGCCAGCTCCAGCCCTAGCAGGAGCTGGAGGCCTGGAAGCGCTTGAAAGAGCAGGAGGCCTCACGGCACAACCTCAACCCCGGGCCCTGTCCCTCCACTGTCACTAGAGATGGAAAACAGGCGCTTGGCACAGTGCTCACCAAAGGGTTAATCCACAGCACTTGAAGCATCCAACCAGCCGCCCACAGCCCCGGCTCCTGCCCAAGGAGAACAGCACCCCAGCCGTGCTGGGCAGCCCCTCCGTGACAAGGGTGACACTGTGACACAGGCCAGCCCATTTGCTGCACGTCTCCCCATGCCACACGCTGCAAAGCGGTGAGCGGAGCTGCAAGCAGGGCCTCCGCCCCGTGCCCTCCTCCCTCCTGTCTAGCCCCAAAGGCAAAACGGCTCCTGCTGCTTTTGGGCTCCCTCGGAGCGAGGGCAGAGATGCGGGTGGCAGCACCCCGAGCAGCGCCCGGGGCCACCAGAAGCAGGTCCTTCCATAACCTGCAGCTCCCAGCAAACCCCAGCACCCCAGATGACAAGCTGTGCTCAGCTAAACCCCAGGGTATCCTGCTGGGAATCAGCAGCAGGTGGATTAGGCAGGGGTCAGTCTGCACCCCTGGGGCAGCAGCAGTGACAGAAGGGAATCCTGCTCCACTATGGAGCATCTACTGCTCTTTCTAATCATAGAGCAGGAAAGCAGTTACAGGGAGATTCAGCTCATGTTTTTCAAGGGATAACAGATGCTGACTTAAAGTCAATGCATGCAGATATCAAGGAAGAAAATATCGGTACAGTTAAGATACCTGGAAATTCTCACTGACCATTTCTGGCAGATACCTTTGTTTCAAAACTAGGCTGAGCTTTCAGCGCCATCAAGGGAGAGGGCTGAGCAGCGAAACAGGCAAGTCCCAGCTCATTCTCCCGCAGCCCAGATAAAAACCCAGCAGCCCAGAGGAAAGAAAGGGGCTGATGAAACCACAGCCTGGGGAAGGAGAGAGGGAGCCAAGCGAGGGGCTGAAGTGTTGGGGTGCTCTTCTCTCTGGGGAGCTTTCTCCTCCATGGCTGGGGCAGGAGGCCAAGCAGCTCCACTTCAGCCAGTGCTCAGGCACACGGACACAATCAGGCGCGTGGCACTCAGCAATAAAGGGCTATTGTCTGGTGACCCCGCCGGGAGGCCTGGGAGCCTTTTATCACTCACGTGCTCCAGCCAAACAGAGCTGGGTGCCAGTCCGCCCAGGCACGCGCTGACCTTCCCGCTCCAACTCAGCCCCTTTGTGCCCGGATGGACAGGAACTCCGTGCTCCTGTCAGGGATCCCTGCACTGCACCCCAGCAGGACCACCCTAGTGCAAGGGAGTGGTGACCACTGTGCCAGCCCAGCAGGACCTCTGCAATCGAGAACAACAAGCACAGGGACCCAGAAACCGTGGCAGGGCCCTGCCAGTGCCGCCTGGGCTGTTTCCACCTACATCCTCCTCCAAGAACTAACCTGGTCCCTGGAGAAGGCTGTAAAAAGCATCAGGAAACCCTTCGTCACCAGCTCTTCCCACTCCAACTGGCAGTAGAAGTCCTTGGATTTCTGTCGGCAGCCAAAGAATAAGCAGTTCCCTGCAGATAGCAGACCAAAAGGACCACGCTGGCACTGAGCGCATGGCTCACGAGGGCTGGGCACTGCCAGTGCCCACAGCACCCGCACGCAGAGCCCCAAGGCCGCCTCTCACCTAACACTCCTGGCTCACAGCCCCAGCCTCAGAGCCAGGGCGACTCAAGAAACACAGGAGCTCAAAGCCAGGTGGTCTCTGGCCATCTTAGATTCCCTGTGTGAGGATAAGCAAGAGCTGGGAGGTATCTAGAGCAGGGACAACCAGCCCCAGAGCTCCATGTCACCCCTTCCACTCCACTCTCAGCTTCCTGCAGCTGAGCTGGGGAACTGGGGAACAGGACAAGGGCAGGCAAAGGACCCGTTCCTTCTCCAGCACAACACGAGCTCCACAACCCTTCTCTGCTTACAGAGAGTCAAGAAAGAGCTTCAGCTGGCACAGGCCCTGCCATAACCCAGGGGACAGCCTGGCAGTGCAGCCTGTGAATAACCACATGGCTCACACACACCAGGCTCTAGTCCCTGCCTCCTGCAGCGCACACGGACCTGAGCTCTGTCCTGCACAGTGGAGCCCAACTCTCTCCCACTTCACCGCAGGAGAGCCCAGGCCTGTCCAAAGCCTCAGGAGCCCCCAGGCCTTCCCTTGTGGGTGCTGAACAAACCTGCCTGGTCTAAGAGCCCCCGTTTCAGGATCCTCCCTCACCTCTGTGTCCCTGTGCTACCCGCTCCTGTATTGCTGCTCGGAAAGGTGCGACGCCTGTGCCAGGGCCGATCATGATCACGGGGGTGTCGGGGACACTTGGGAACTTCATTCCTCCTTTCTTCACCCACAGAGGGACCCGGACTTCTCCTGCAAAACAAACACACTGGCTAGCAGCACTGCAGGACTCCTGCTTTCAGAATCCACTCATCACAGACCCCGTCGAGGGCACTGCCTAGGCCAGCCCAGAGCTAGGCCAGCCACAAGGCTCTGCAAACATGGACTGTGCTTGGTTTAACACGACGCCCACACCAAGGCACTCCTGATGCTACAGCACACTGCGTGAGTGTGAAAGGCCCTTCAGGTGGCCCAGCCATCGCTTTGGTGCTCTGCAAAGCACTCGAGTAGATTCCAGAACAAGGTAAAAGCGCCACAGCACAGGGGCGGTGGGACAGCCCCCTTCTCATACACACATCACGTACTATCAAAGATAGTGGAGGAAGGAAGCAGAGATCCGAACCTGCCTGACGTCTAAGGGAGACACAGAGGGCTGAAGAGACCCGTCTGGGTGCTCTGAGAAGACCCAGGCATGCTTGGGAGTCACACACAGCAATCCCTTGTCCTCCTGCAGCGCACACCCCCTGCTAGCTTATTGCACTTGCTAAGGGACCCAGCTCAGGGGCTTGGTGATCACAGCCGCACACGGGCCTAGTGGGACAGGAAAGAGCTGCTCTAAGGAATCATCATTCTTCACAGAGCTTCACAGGCTGGACCTGTCCAGCAACCAGAACATTTCCTGACCCTGGATGCTGGGAGCAGCCAGCTGTGAGCACGGCGAGACGCACTGGCACTAGCAGCAGGAGCACTGGGAAGCAGGGAGAAAAACAGTAACGTAGGGTGCTCTGGGCTCTGCGAACACACACACAGCTCCACCATCATCCTATGGGATCAACACTGTGCTTTGCAGCAGCACAGAGCCCTCTGCACAGTCTGAGCAATTTGTTACCATGCTGTGGGTTGAGGGAAGCCAGCCAGTTAGAGCAGAGACCACGGCGGGGTTTGCTGAGCCGCGTCTTGTAATACACCACTGCCATGAGGATCTGGATCCGGTTGGGGTGGACCTGTGTGCACAGGGGAACCACAAGAAGTGAGACATCCAGGCTGAGAAAAATAATAATCGGCTGCAGCAGAAGAGCAGAACAACAAGAGCACATCGCCAAAAAGTAGCCCTGGGCAGAAGCAACTTCTCACGTGTCATCAGCTGCTAGAGACAGGTACTAGGCTGCAGGCAGGGAGCAGGTCCAGGAGCAGCAGGACAGGCCACAGGCAGCCCAGCTCCGCAGGAAAAGTCCAGGGACTCTTCCAGGAACACATCCTATGCTAACCCAAAATGGCTCCTTGGACACACAACTGGTGCGTCCTTGACTAAAGGCTTTCCGCTGGCGAAGGCTTCCCAGAGCAGCACTGCCACAGGATCCTCTGCCCCGCAGGCTGGGCAGGCAGACGCAGTCCAAGCCAAGAGTCCGCTGGGCACAGAGAACACAGGAGCTGCTTGGGCTGGCACTGACCAAGCTGCCAGGGCCAGGTCCCCCTGCCGCCTCCTGGCAGCAGCAGGAAACAACCCTCCCCCAGCTGTCCCAAGGCCCCACTGTGCGAGGACGTGCCCTGCCTCCACGGCACCACATCCCACTCGGCACAAGGACCTCAGGACTCCTCAGCAGCACTTACAGGCCTGCGCAAGGATAAATGTCCTAGGCCAGAGGCTGGGGATTAACATCTGCTCTGGCAGCAAGCTGCAGGCTCACAGTGGAGGGAGGGGGTGTTTGGGTGCCCTCGGGGTGTTCACAGAGTCTGGGAGTGATTTCCTCAACACCGGCAGCTTTTACAGCACGAGCTGCTAGGCCAGCATTTGACAACACCTCAGTGCGGTGCCTGACACTAGGTCTGCAGCGACTGGAGTCTTACCAGCAGAGAGGAGGCGATGGAGAAGGCGCGAGGTCTGATGCGAGGAATGAGGTCCAGCAGATACTCGGCTGGAATGGCACACGCGGTGTGAGGGAAATCCCAAAGAACCTGGCCAAGGCAAGCAGAGAGAAGTGGAGCCACCCGACCTGCTCTTGCAGGGCCACGGGCTCCCCTGCACTGATCCTCACACCATCTGGGCCATTCAACTGCAGGCACCACAAGGGACTTCCGAGCAGCCACCCAGCACCCAGTGTCCTCCCCTTGTTCCCAAGACCCTGCACACTCTGCGCCCAGGCTGCAGAGCAGGGTAAAGCGAAGGGGAGGGAGCTGCTCTTCACCACCAGGGACAAAGCAGAGGACATTTGAGAAAATGGGTGACGTACATGAAACCCCCAGCCAAGAGATGTCTCGGGGCCTTGTGCCCAGACGCCGTCCTCACTGCTCGGGTTGGCCGTGCTCGCCCTACCTCGAGGGTGCTCCTGCGCGGCCGGTTGCAGTAGCTGTACAGCTCTTCCTGGCCCTGCGCCGAGCTGAACTCCTGCAGCTTCTCGCGCTCCAGCTCGCTGGCAGACAGGGAGGACAGGAGCTCGAAGAAGGAGCGCCGCGGCACGCTGCAGATGTCCAGGTAGTGGGTAACCAGGTGCCGGATGGTGCAGGGCTGCGGCAGGAGGGCGGGGAGGGCAGTGCCTGCAAGGGAAAGCGGCAGCCAGAGGTCAGGGCCAGCTCCCTGCAGCAAATCTGAGCACCGCTTGCCTGACGTCCCTCCACGTGCAGGTGCCTGAACCAGGGCAGCCCTGCGCTCCGGGAGCAGCTGCACATCATGGCAAGCTACGAGTGGAGCTGACTTTAACCACAACCGTCCCTGCAAGCCCTGGCTTCACACAGAGAAACCTGGCAGGGTCGAACGGGGCGGTGCCTGCAGTATTTTAGTGCATTGGGACACAGACCCCTTGTGCACGTGCACTGCAGTGGAAATGGCAGCGTCCCACGTGTCAGGTCCGTCCCCCCAGAGCGTGAGGAACTGCCTGAACTTCTCCTGGGTTTGCTTTCTAGGCCTGGATCCCAGCAATGCTGGGCTTACGAGAAAGGAAGAGGGAGGAAAGACAAACTCTCTCAAAGCATCTGCTCCTGCAGGAGAAGTACTTGGTGTCTGCTGTGAATTACAGAGTGCTGAGAACATCTCCACAGGCAGCAGCAGACACTAGGAAAGGAAGCATGAAAACAGCCCTGGTACTGCTTCCGAAAGGAGGACTGCAGAACTGCTCTCCTGAATTTGGCATCTAACTACACCAAACCAATGTGCCAATACACGGTACAGCCTGAGATTCCACACTGCTCTGGCGATGCATTAATCAACACCTGCGATCCTCCGGGAGAAGCAGCTCCCTGCAGGAGGGTCAAAAAGCCAGTGTGCCAATGCTGGGACAGATCCACATCAAAAAGATCTAGAGATAGTGGGAATGGCATCTTGAAGATAGAGAGGTCCTTTCCTACTGGGTGGTTTTAGACGCTCCCTGGGCCACAGCCGCCCTCCGGAGGGTCTTCATGGTCCTGTCCAGCTTCAGCTGCCATGAAGCACAGGAGTCTGTGTCCTCAGCAGGGCCAAGCACTTCTCCTTTCCTGCTACAGAGCACATCAGGGAGACTGAGATCAAGGGACTCATGTGCTCTCTGTGGATGGGCAAAAAGAGTTGGATACTGAAGCTCTCTGCTGTGTTCCCACTTTCCTGGGGGTGGGATCAGAAAAGCGGGGAGCACCAGTCAGAGCTTCACGAGGCAAGGGAAAGGAATGGAGGTTCCCAGGAGATATCATGGTGGATAGCACTCTCCTCCTGCCATCTCCGGTTCTTTGGGATCAGCGTGGGATCCCATTTCCCAGTCAGTCTGCACAGTGCTCTCTCCATGGCTGCGGTGGGCACTCTGGGCAGAAGGGAGGGCTCTCCTGGCATCAGGCAGGTTGCAGAGCCCTGGCAGGGCCTGCCACGGCTGCTGGGGGGACTCCAAGGGGGTTCTCCAGTCACTGGGACCAATTTGGCTGCACAAGGTCTCTGGGGTGCAAGTAGAGCGGGGAGATCAACACACCCACAGCAAGAAACCACAGGTACAGGAGAGCACTCTGAGCAACCCAACCTGACTTGGCCCTTGGCTTGGGGAAACAGAGAGGTCTTTATGCCCTGGCCTGGGGGATGTGCAGACACAAGACACGGGTGCAGCACACGGGTGTCTGCAGCACAGACACTGCTGCCCTCCTGCCACAAAACACACGGCCAGAACACGGGAGCCCCACACACAAAAGGCCTGGCAGGGAAGGGACCCTCAGCACAGCAAGACATTTGCATGTCCTGGACCCATCCGTTCATTACTCCCAACTCCCCACTTAGCAGCCCAAAAGCCAAGGAAAAGCAGACTCCAAGTTGGCGCAAAGCTCAGGGGGCTGCCCCATCCAGGCACAAAGGGAAAGGAGCAGCCTGAAGGACCTACCGGGCTCCGAGGGCTTCAGCACAAAGTGCCTGTCGGGATCAAGGCGCAAGAGCTGGCAAAACTGCTGCACATCCTCGGGGCTGTTCTGGGGCTGGATCATCACGACGTCTCCGGCGCTGAACCTGCACACCCAGCAGGGCCCGTTGAGCACAGCCCCAGGGCGGGCCCACACGCAGAGCACACGGACCCTCACCAGGATCTGCCAGATGCCACGACTTAGTCAAAAATGCAGCGTCACTAACGTTATGCTCTTTGCCTTGACAAGGCAAAGACATATGGCTCATGGGCAAACCCCACCCTGGCTCATGCAGCCCACTGTGCCCTCACTTTGCCATAAGCAGCAGGGACACAAGCATGGAAAATGGGCAGCAGCCTTGGACACTGGTGAAGGGGGGAAGTGGAAGGGGAAGGATGCTGTGGGAGACCTCCCCGAGGGCAGCACCAACACAGCCCTGTACTCTCAGCCACAAGGACACCTTGTTGTGGCACCGTTGACTTGCTGTCCACCCGGACTCGCAGGTCCCTCAGTGTGGAGTTGCTGTCCAGCACCTCAACCCCCAACCTCTCCTAGGGCTTGGCATTATTCCTCCCCAGAGCAGGACCCTGCAGGTGCCTTCAAGACATTCCTCTCTGCCCAACCCTCCCACCCGTCCACATCTCTCTGACCTGCAACAACCAGGGCAGGTGCAGAAGCTCCAATGCAAGCAGACAGAACAAGCTGTCATGTTGGGTCACCCAGACACCCTGCACTGCCAGGACCCCAAGGATTGCCAGGGAAGGACAGCACAAGCATCAAGTCCTGGCACAAAGAGGCAAAGCTTGGACAAAAACACTCACATGATTCCTGAGCCTGTGATATCAAACTCAATGAGCCGGACATCCTGGAAATGGGATTCTGCCGTGACCCGCTCATTGGACACCATCCGAGCAGCAAAGGGATGTAGTTCTGAGGGAACAGCCTTGGCTGCTCTTGGCTGGAGCACGTCGCCATCAGAGCAGGAGGAGTCTTCAGCCACGTAGTGCAGGGTGTATTTTGGAGGCAGGCTGTGGGGAAGGCAGCAGTGCAGAACAGTTGCCTCCGTGCCAGAGCTCCTCTGCTGCCTTAGCTCCAGAGCTTGGGCCAGGAAAGAAGCTGAACTACCCCACAACATCCACACCCACAGGGGCATATTGCATCCCACACGGAGGTGGTAAGGACCAGGCCAAGGCAGCTGGCACACACCACAGCCACAAGGGAGTAGATGGTGCACGCAAGGCCAAACCTCAGGGGATACTTGAGACATTGGCATCCATGCCATGGGGGAAGGCTTCTCCGCAAAAGCAGAGCTCTGTGCCAGGGCACAGCCAGGGACGCAGGGCATTCTGCACCAGCCGATGTGGGGCCAGGAAGCTGCCACGCTCTGCTCCCGCCCCGCACTCACCACACATCTGGGCTGATGATGTCAAGGCCTGGAGGGAGGGGATACAAGGTGAGGATCTTGTCCCACAACGCCAGCAGCCAGGGATCAATCACTGCGTCTGGTCTGCAAGAGGGAGACGCAGCTTGGAGCAGAGAGCTGCCTCTGCCACCAGCTCCCCCAACTCCGAGGCTGTCAGCCCTGCAGCCTGCACGGGAGCTGTCACGGGAGGGACCCGAGGGACCCCTGCCAGCTGGGCACAGCGCAGGGACACTGCCAGGCTGCCGTGCAAAGCAGGGAATGCTGCTCCTACTCCCAGCACACACGGCAGCTCCGTGCTGCTCCCGCAGGATCCACGCGAGCAGCCGTGTCCACAGCTGCCCTGCGGGGCACAACAACTGCAGAGCAGAGCTCAGAGCAGCACCGCGGGCACTGCCACCCAGCCCCAAACCGGCTTCCAAGGCCCCACGCCGCGCTCTCCTCCCTGCTCTTACCCCAGGTCGTGCTGGTCGTCCCCCAAGGCCACCGGCAGCAGAGGGCTCCCCCCGAGCTGCAGCACCCGCTTGTGCAGCTTCTTGGCAACAAAATTAAACCTGGGCAAAGAACAAGCGTGGCTGCAGTGGGCAGCGCTGCCCTGCAGCCCCTCGGGCGCCTGCGGGGCAGCTCTGGCCACCGGCCGCTCGCACAAGCGCAGCTTCAGAGCGTCACCTCTCCTGGGATACAAGCAGAGCATCGGGACTGCAATAGGTGCCTGGGCAATAGCGCCTGGGACACTGCAGCAAAGGCTCTGCTGGAAGGGGTTCAGAGGAGAGAAACAGGCAGCAGCCCAATTCCTGGGGACTGGCATGGACGGGGGCTCCCAGGGCAAGGATTTTTTAAGGAGGGTGGAAATTTCAACTTGTCCAAGCTGCTGCTCTCGAGCATCTCCCTCTGCTCCTCCATTCCCAGGCTCTCTGCTCTTGCCTGTGGCCACAGGAGCGAGGAGCCGCTGCAGGGCGGGAAGGAGCCAAGGAGATCCACTTACTTGGGATAAGAGGAGTCTCCGAGGCCCAGCACGGCGTAGTCCATCTGGCACAAGGAGCTGGGCGGCAGGGTCTTCCGGAACAGAAACCGCCAGAACGTCTATAAAGGAGCAGAGCTGGGCAGCCACCCGCGCGGCAGGGACCCTGCCCCAGGGCCCCACGGCCCACCCCACAAGCTGCCCCTACCCCTCTGCCGAGCGCACGGCGGGCAGGCAGCGCAGCCGCCACCTTCCCTTGCTCAGCACCTCTCTGCAGAGGCTGCCTGGACCCTCCGAGCACCTCAGCGGCACAAGCACAGCCTGCAGCGAGCTGCTCCTGCTGCCTGGTGCCAAGGGCGTGCGCTGCGAGGCTCCACAGAGCTGAGGCTCTTTAGCTGCTGCAACAGCACCAGCTTTCCTGGTCATGTCCCCTCAGGAGCACGAGATGCTTCTCAGGCTCATTCAACCAAAACCCGCTTGATGCCACCCTGCAGGAATGCCTGGGGATGTTTCAAAGCCCACAGCTCCAAAAAGAAGCATAACTCAGACTGCTCAGAAAAGGAAATTCTGGGGAGGAACAACCCCCGACACCAGGACAGGCTGGGGACTGACCTGCTGGAGAGCAGCCCCGCAGAGAGGGACCTGGGCATCGTGGTGGGTGACAAACTGACCATGGGGCAGCAGTGTGCCCTGGTGGCCAAGAAGGCCAACGGGATCCTGGGGTGCATTAAGAAGAGCGTCTCCAGCAGGTCTAGGGAGGGGATCGTCCCCCTCTACACAGCCCTGGTGAGGCCACATCTGGAGACTGTGTCCAGTTCTGGGCTGCCCAGGACAAGAGGGATGTGGAGCTGCTGGAGAGAGTCCAGCGCAGGGCTACCAGGATGATCAGGGGCCTGGAACATCTGCCCTATGAGCAAAGGCTGAGAGAG